TGAAACATTATCAACGACATTGTTACACCTATCTGACAATACAGATCGTGAATCCAATGACAGTGAAAGTGAACTACCCGTTAATGATGAATCTCGTGGTCATACAAATCAATTATCAACAACTGCGACACCTACATTTGCTGGTCATTGTGTCGTAGAAAACAATAAGAAGTCTAAAAAGAAACCAGCCAAATCATCATCTTCAGGTGTGCAGCAACTATTGGCTTTCATGACTAAACTTGAATCTCAATATTTGAGACCTCTTCTTGTTGAACAAGAACGGATCGAAGCAATAACAAAATGCTTGTCTGATAATAAAAAAAAGATTCAAAACGTCTTAAGGAAACAAAAGGTAATTGATGATTTATTTGAAGATTCTTACTTTATTTGTCTGTCTTAGATGAACATTGCATTACTTGAAGTGGATGACAAAGATGAATCAACCAACAATCAAACTTTTCTATCTTCTCTGGTATGATGTCTCTTCTGTAATATATACACAGAAAGTATTCAATTTGAAGTTTTCTCTTATTCAGGAACACAAATTACCTGATGGTATTGTTATTGATTTACTTCAAAAAAATGGCATCAAAGAACATGCTAATCGTTATGTAACATCTCTCATGCATGTACTTTTTAAGCCCGAAGAATTATTGGTTATGGAAACAAAAGATATACCAAAAGATGAACGATATATTATGCTGAAAGGTTTGTAAATACTTATTTGTCAATTTTTATGTTGACAACCAATGTTTTTCAGAAGTAGTTCGAAATAAATTTCGACTAACGAAGGAAGAACTTGAAACTATGTGGGCTTAGCTTCATACTGTCATGTTGGCTAAACGTCGAACAATTGCTGGAAAGAGAAAAAGAAGTGAATCAATTAATCAACAAATCAATAATTAACTTATTATATATATATATATATATATCATTTGTAAATTTCTTCAATTGTATATGTAGAACAAGTGAGCTTTAATTAGCATTTATTTTTACTCGAATATTTGAGTTAGTGTTTATTTCTTTTCTTTCTAAATGTTCTAACGAATATGTACCATAACGAACTTTTTTCTTTTATCTATCTACATTTTTTTATTTGAACGTGTATATAACTCGTGTAGTTTTTTGTATTAATTGTTTCATAGAAAACGATTTTCTCGAAAACTTGGTGTATCGTGTATTTATTATGAAACATGTAATAAATATAAAAGAACAAATGATACCGGTCTAGTTCGCTATTTTGGTCCAATACCATGCTATCTCTTTTCTAAGAACTGCGACGCAGTTACGGCGTAACTGCGTCGCATTTCGATCGTAGTGAAACACATGGGTTATACTGCGATGTATTCCAACACGAATTGAAACAATCCATTGGAAAAATTCCAATGAAAAATAAAATAATCTTTCAGCAGGACTTGGCCACCTGGCACACCTCCAAAATTGTTAAAGAAAATATTCGTTGAATGAAGCTGAATGTAGTTAACTGGGCTCCAAAGTGCTCAGATTTAAATCCAATTGAAATGCTTTGGTCGATTATCGATAAAAAACTAGCTGCAAAACCAAATTATTCCAAGACAGCTTTAAAAGAACGTTTACAAGAAGAATGGAACAATATCGATCGAGATTTATGCATCAAATTGGTCGAATCGATGCCGGAATGTCTTCAAAACTGTCTAGCAACAAAAGGTGGACACTTTTTATGAAACTAAACTGTTTCTTTTTGTAGACAAAAATTGTACTTTTTCAAGATTTTTTGAAATAAACAAATATTTGAGAAAATGCCTTAAACTTTTGATCACAGGGAAAAAAGAACTTTTTTCCAAATAAATGAAAATACTTTTCTTCAGAGATCTAAGCATATTATTCCTATGGCCTATTATGAAAGCTATCAAGATAGTTATATAAATGTCGCTATCAAATACATTTTGATGTAGTAAATAGAAAAACAAAAAGTGCCTTAAACTTTTGATTCCCACTTTATGTTGAAAATACGATTGTTTGCAATACTTTATTAGCATTCTCCATGAATTATTTTTATAATAAAAAGAGCACACTTTTGAAAAAAAAGTGGATATTAATACAGCGCAAGTCTTTATGTTTTTGATCCATACAAAATTATGATGGAATTATCAGAGTTTATCATTTATTAATAATGTTATAATTTTGAATTGATGTCACTGATAAAAAAGAAAAGAAAAAGTTCGTTTGCCTTAAACAGCTGGAATTTCACGGATCATTTATCAAAGAATATTTTTTGGCCTATTATTCTTATTAGGATCAGTGGTCGTCATCATCAGAATAAATACAGCCACTTGCAAATTACCGCTAATTATTCAGTTAATTTTCACGATAATTGAATGATTTTTGAATCATTCGATTCAGCAAACATTTCTTTATTGAATAATATAAAAAATTTCTAAATTTCTTTAAAACAAAACGCTTGAAAAAGCTTTTCGAATTCTAGAAGCATCATTTGTATTGGAATAAACTATGGCAAGTTATTCTAAATAATTTTCTCTATTGTAATGCATCATTAAAAATAATATATGACTTCTTTTCATTAATAAGAATAATTATACATTGAAAACAAAATAAAATACATACTGTTTATTCTCACATCGTTGCTCAATATGATGAAATACGAAAAAGAATTGTATTTTGTTATCAGATACATCCCGTTCATTCATCAACATGTGTCACAATGAACACCCTTTACAAGCTAAAATCGTTTTGGAATAAAGAAACCATTAGAATGAGAAAGAAATCGTTGTTTTGAGGATTTTGTTCTTCAACTACATATATCAATCATGTACGCTAGAACATTGCATTAAAAATGGAGTTGTATGAATGTTTAATTCGTCACTATAAATGATAAGAGATATTCGTCTACAAAAGAATGCATCTTAGCATAGATGAACACACAATGACACTAATGTTTACAACAATAATAATAACAACAATAATCATTCTTTTATAATATCAAAAACATTGTTTGAAAGGTCACCTAAGGCGTCATTCATTTTTTTGTTTTCGTTATCCTCTCATGTCAAAGCAAGCCCAAAAATCATTCATTACTATTCATTAGATTGATCAGCTAACAAAATATCATGTTTACACAATGGTTTCATGCTTCATTGAGTCTTCATATGCAAATGCAATCATAGGTATAAATACACAAGTAATATGCAGGCTTTCTCAACAACACAGTAAGTTTAGTTTAGACATCATCTTTTTGTATTCATATAAATAATTTCCATATTCTCGCACATCATGTATCGACTATTAACGATTTCATGCTTCATTGCTGCAGTATTGTTTATTCAAATTGCTTGTGATGATGGCGAAGAAGTGACTATTCAACTGGATGTGACTAAAGACGATTATGACGCGCTCCACAATGGT